CTTGAATTTCTTTATGAGGGCTATGAGAAGGCATGGGAGAGTTACAGAGAAGTGGGGTCAGAATGAGCGGAAGTGACAGGTTTTTGAGATACTGAGGAGGCGAAGACCTGGTGGCTGATTGATGGCACGGGAGGAGGAGAGAAGGAAGGGTGACTCAGAGGTCTCTTGTTGGGTAACTGGGTAGATGAGGTACTGTACTTAGGGAGGTGTGGAGGAGGAACAGGAGGCAGCAGCTTTGGGAACTAAGATAATGAGTTCTAAGATTCAAGGGTTAGGCACCCAAGATGAGAAAAATTGAGTGGTAGAAGACTGTGCCTCCATGTGTAGGTGAAGTCTAGAGGCTCCAGGTACTGTCAGAGTAGAATTGTCCCAGCAGTGGATGGGGGGCACCCAGGTACCTGCACTCCTTCCTATTAGGTAATTCATTTCACAGCAATGATCCAAGTGATGCTTGGGTGTCCTCAGTAATAGCTCTCAAGTTCAGCAGAGTTGGATTTGGGGTGTCCTTATTAACTAACAAAGATAGAGGAAAACCTTCCCATATGCTTGCTTTTCCAACATGACCAAATGAGCTATTTCTCCAAAGGATTTTACTAAGTGGGAAAACACAAATACCTTTTCTTTGTTGTTGTTGTTGTTGTTGTTTGGTTTGGGGTTTCTTTTAAGAGTTTTATTTCCTCACTTCATTTTTCCAGAATTACTTTGCCCTGGGCTCGTGTGGGAATTATAGGAAAAGAAGCCATCAAGGTATTGAGAGAATTTAAAGAAATATTTTCTGTCCTCAAAGAGAGCAGCTGAGGGATGGAGCTGAGAAAGATTTAGGGTTGACATGGAGAAGGCTTTCTGAAGGAACAAAGTTGGAGGACAAGCTGTGAAACATTCTGGAAAGATGAGAAGGAATGAAAGAGACAGCATTCCATCTGTGAAGTTTCATGGGAGGCCTCCAGGGATTCTTGGCAGGAGGTGCCTGGAAACCCATTAAAAATCCTATTTCTATGGGCAAGGGAAATGGCTCAGTCAGTAAAGCGCTTGCCTCATAAATGTGAGGACCTAAGTTTGGATCCACAGAACCCGTGTAAAAATCCAGGTGTGGTGGTATGGGCCTATAATCCCAGTGATGGTGAGAGAGGAAGCAGAAACAGGCAGATCCTGGAAGCCTGGAAGCCAGCTAGCCGGGACTACATGGCCGTTCCAAGCCAGGGAGAGACCCTGTCTCAAGCAAAAGGTGGAAGGCACCTGAGAACTGACACCCAAGGTTGTCCTCTGACCTCCACATACATGCTGTGCACACACACACACACACACACACACACACACACACACACGAGAAGTCCTATTTTGGGGTCTTTCTTTGAGTTTCTTTCACGTAAACCTCATACCCACATAGACCCCCTCTCCTCTCAGATAGCCTAAGTGTCGTTTCCCTCATAAGTGGACAAGGTGGCCAAAGTTAGAATGCTCCTTAGCTTCAGCATCACAGGAACCTCTTCACTGAAGGGTTTCCAGTTCTAGTAGCACCGTTTCAGTTTCTGGTAACCTCAGTAACTTTGGGTATGACGTTGAGCATGGACCTGCCTCTGTTTTGTCACCTGTAGGATGAGTGAGAATAGTACTTCAGAAAGTCTTAAGGGACTAAGTGAACTAATAAGTGTAAGCTGTTCTCATGGTGCCTGACACAGAAAACTCTCAGTGAAAGTCAGCTGTGGCAGGACCTGGAGAGATGCTCAGTGCATAAAACACTGTGCAAGCATGAGGACCTACGTTTGAATCTCCAGCACCCACCATAAAAAGCTGAATGTGGTTGGGGCTGAAGAGATGGCTCAGCAGTGTACTGCTCTTCCAGAGGACCTAAGTTCAATTCCCAGACCTATCAGGTGGCTCACAACTGCCTATAACGCTAGCTTCTGGGGATTTGATACCCTCTTCTGGTCCCTGTGGGCAGACACAAACACATGTACACCCACACACAGACACACACATACACACATAATTTAAAAATCTGTAAAAGCTGGGTCTAGCCATGTAAGCACTCTGTCCCACACCATGGGGGGACAGAGACATAAGGCTCACTGAGGCTTGCTGGCTGTCAGCCTAGTTCCAGGTTAGGTGAGGTGACCCTGTCTCAAGGGAGTAAGGCAGAAAATGATAGAACAGGACACTGGACATTCTCCTCTGGCTCCTGTGTTTGCAAAGGCACACAAACTCATGCAGACATATGCATACACACTATACACATATACTGTGTACACACACACACACACACCAAAAAAAAATTAAGTCAACTTTAATTTTGACTGCATTATCTCCCTTGCTAGAAAAACAAATTACAAAATAGATAGGGAACAGTCTCTTAAAAGCAAAAGGTGCCTATGCCAAAGCTATGATCCTATCAGTGATTATTATTAATAATAGGTTCATAATTACTTTTGCCACAATTTTAAGTGAAAGCGCCTTTGGGTGGCTGACAACTGGCAAAATGGGAACCATTATTAACGGAGCTGCCGGCTCCTGTTACCAGATCTATTGACATAATATTTCTCCCTGGGAATCCTTTGACAAATCAGCTGCATTTCCTATGCCCTTGCCCTAAGCACCACATATTTGATCCACATGTTCCCAGTGTTGTTTCTGTTGATGAATGAGGGAGAGAAGAGGAGGCACAGGGCTGCACTGGGGCTGCCACAGGACTCCCACAGCTGTTGGAGCTGTGGCTCATAGTTGGGTGGCTTCCTCTTTTGTTTCCCTCATTTTAATGCCCAGAGCCAGCTTTTTCTACTGTGTTTGATTACTCAGCTGTCAGAACTTCAGCTTTAGCGAACAGGGCTGGGGGAGGTGCGTTGAGGGGTAACCCAACCACATGCTCTTCTTCCTCCCATGGAAATAAAGCTCTGAGGAACTGCTTTGGTGCAGGCCTTGTGGAGTCAGTACAGGCTGTGATGGGATGGGGGAGGGGAAGCACGGAGGAGCCAGACCCTGGTACCAAGAAATATGAATAGGCAGAATGTCACTGTACCTGAAAGATGACCAAGAGAGACACGGGGGCCGTGGGGGGGGGCATGACTAGAGGAAGACTACCGTGTGCCAAGTGAGAAACCTCACAGGCTTGGTGAGGGGCATGCTTGAGTGAAAGGGGCTGGCATTACCCAACTGCATAGTCTCTCACACACACACGCCACTGAACAGGGGCAGTAACTGAGCCTTAATGTGTTCACTGGACTCTTAAGGTGTACAATTCTAGGGGCACCCCAACCCTAATCTAAATCCTACCTCCACCACTTACCTGACAAAGTTATTTAGTTATGTATGCTCTCCTAATGCCAGTCCCCAAATATTGGGACTGGCACAGGCAGTGCCCACCCTCTAGGGTGATTGGAGGAATCAACAAGACACTGTAAAGAAAGCCTAGGTCCCAGCAACAGCAACAGCACTGAGTAGAGGCCCTACTCTGAGCCACAATGGTGCAAGCATTGGCATCTAGTGACTCAGCTCATCCCCTCAGCAGCCCCTCTCCCATGAGTGAGCTTTTGTTATCTCTGGTTAACAGAGATGTGAAGTGACCTGCCCAAGATCACATGGCTGGTCATGTGACAGCACTTGAATGATGAACTCCAGAGCCCTACTGTAACTGCTCAGTGGTACCACCTCATGTGGCTGTTGTCCTCATATTCCATGCGTGCAGGATAGGGGACTCTAACCCACATCCCAGGGACTCGCCAGTTTTCTCAAGAAATTTTAGATTTTTCCCCAAAGTGACTTACCAGTCACAGGTTCCTGTGGATGGATATATATGTGTATAT